ACCACTCACACACACCACTGCTCCTATGCCCTACTACTGCCCCATTTCCCAGCAGACCTCAGGTAAGTTGTCAAACTGTTCTTAAACGGTTTGACTACTTATTCTGGGAGGGGGTCCCGGCACTATTGACACCATAACCACTACACTGAGCTGTAGTGGTTATTGTGTCTGGATTATTTCTTTAAATAATCTACAAGTGCCCCTCCCGAGATCAGGCTCTGGATCCGCCACTGCTACACGGACGGAGCCATACTTGAGGATTATTATCGTGGTACTGCATACCAGTGAGACTGTTTTCAATTATACTTTTTACAAATCCGGATGAACTTTACTTGACTTTATTATCACTGTTTATTTTATCAGAATACGATTTTATTCACTTATTCACTTTTTTGTCTCCCTACTCAAGCGCAGCCCTTGACCCCCTTCCCTTTTTTTCTTGTATCTGTGTGTGTGTATATATCTGTGTATCTGCATGTTTGTCAGTGTGTGTATCTGTGTGTGTATTTGTGTGTGATACAGAGGGCCATTGCAAATGCTTGCCCAGGATTCAATCAATATTAAAGACGGCCCTGCCATTATTAGGATCTGGTCTGCTGCTATACTGTCTTTCTTTTGGTTCTTGGCTTTGGTTCTGAGCTCTCAGATTGCATATGCCACAACAGAATTACTGCATAATATCACTGCAGAATTAAATACTCCCAGACTTTTAGAACCAAATCTTTCTAAAGCAATGACAACGCCAAGTTGTAAGTCAGTTTATTGTATATATTTAATGATGTTAACAGATCTGTAGATAGCAGATCGATTTTAAGTTATTTATTTATAGGCCAAGAAAGATACCAAGAAAGTATACCTTAATTGTTAACCAAAATGAAATGTATTTATTATTATACCGCCTGTATGGATTTTGTAGGTGCATCCATCTTAGCAAACAGGGCATTTTCACAATTTGTTTTTGTTGGTGGGAATTTAGCCCCTTAAGGACCAAACTTCTGGAATAAAATGGAATTATGACATGTCACACATGTCATGTGTCATTAAGGGGTTAAAATAACTAACGTCAAAGAAAAGGTAAATATTATTTGCTTTCAGTTTCTTATCTTTGGGAGGATTAAGTACGCAAATTGGCTCATGGAACCGGGTTGTAAGCGATATTAGTATTGTTTTAGGAAATTATCTATATATGATTTAGATCACAAATCAGTGAGGAAATGAAGCCGAGGCGTAATTGTTTAAACTTATAGAAAAAGATAAAAAGAAGAAACATCCCATTAGATAAAGAAAATGGTGAAAATGTTAAAGAAACATTTACAATAATGATCCTGCTGTGTTATTTTTGTTATAATATTATAGTAAATAGAGTTAATAAGAAAGTCATATTTTGCAATCTTAATGAATTTTATTTATTTAGTTACTAATTTGGGAAATGTTGTAAAACGAAAAATGACTTGCAACATTTATAACAGAATAGCCTGAGACGTGGAAAACATTTTGAATTTGAGAATATATTCACCCCAGCAGTATTGATCTATATTTTTCATGTTAGTTTAATTTTACCATGATATCAGTCAGGTGTACAGTCTGCTTAGTACGCAGAGCAAACCTCATTGCTTATTTAAAAAGTAGTGATATTATGACAAAGAGAGGGCCCTGGTGCAAGAATTTGCTTCAATAAACTTAAAAAGATTCTCTGAGCACTATAGTATGCTGTCATGGTTATGGTGTTAGAAGTCCCCTGACGCTAACTGAATAAGGTAAATTGTCAGAATGTTTACAACTCTTACCTAATGAAACATTTTCCAACTTTGATTTAATATTGTTGGATAAGCCTTTCCTGGTGATTTCATTTTTTTAGTGTAAACTTTTAAAAATATATATATTTTCAACAATTAATTAACTATTAGCAACAATTAATAACAATGAAAGTATAAAAAAAATACAATTTAGAAAAAAAAATATCAATATTTAAAAAATAAAATCACAATACTGCAAAATGATATTAAATCAGTTGGAAAGGTTATCAAACAATATTAATCTGAGGCCTTGATTTGAGTTGGTATAATAATGCAGAAGGTATGAAATTCCACTTTAACAGATCAACTCGACTGGGGGCAGGTAAGTGTCAAACTGCTCTTAAAAAAGTTTGACAGTTTACCACTGGATGGCAGTAGAGGACCCCTGGTATAACCATAATCATTTCTCAGACATGCAGTATTATCCTGAATGTTAAAACATTAATGTCATTATTCAATGAATGTATGCATCACAATATTTTACTGTTCATTGTCCCATTAAACTGATACATTTTAAGGATGTCATATTATGTTCGTTTTTATTCCATATAATTGAATACAAAATACAATAGGCAGCACCTACATGTTACTTTTTAATGAGGAGAGTCATTTACAATCATATGTACAATCATTATTCTGTCCTTTGCTCTTTTCTAGACTGCCACAACCACAAAACTCCTCAACCCATTTTCTATGCTAAAGTGACATTATATTCCCTTTTTACTGACTTTTGTGTTAATATTATAATAGTTACGTTGATGATGTCTTTATTATAATTTGCAATAAAAAAAAAAGAAATCTGTAAAAAACATTCAACATGCCCCATTCTGATGAATATTTCATAAAGTTAATCTCAAGACATCATAATCTCAGCTCGTTAGAGAGGGTTAAAAAAGAAAAAAAAAGCCCATAATGAATGCTATCTTTAGAGACCAGATAAACCCATTAAAAAGGAAGCATTCATAATCATACATAGTTTTTTCACAAGAAAGTGAGGTTAGGCCAAAATAACGGATCTGAAAAAGAAATGTACTCAGCAATTGTCAAAACGTGGCTGTTTTAGCCCCATTTTGTAAATTCACTTTCAATTCAGAACAGTTTGCTGTTTAGTGACTTTGTCAATATTGGAGCACTGTTTTTGTGATATGTGCCAAATAATGCAGATTAACAGCATGGTATTAATTAAGTATTCAATTATAATAGTCCTTACCTTAATTGTAGCTTTTCTCTAATTTCTGATCAACAGCAGTTCTTTACTTGGCAGAAAGCATATTCTTAATGAAGCAGAAGTGCGACTTTCCTCTCTCTCTCTCTTTCTCTCTCTCTGAATTTCCTGCCAGTGTCCTTCCTTTTTAGAAACATACAGCTGATGATGCTAATTATAAAACTGAGATTTGCTTCTCAAAGTAAAAAAAAAAGATTTTCCTCAAACAGTAAGTTGATGTCGGACTAATGCAATTCATTGGATTTGATGAAAATCTTCCACTTTATTTATTTTACGACAGGTTTTGCAATGCAGTTATTCATTCACACAATTTAAGTGAATAAACTCATTCACACACGGATTACCATTCTTACGGAACAGTAGTCAGGATTGTCTACATATTTGTAACTCTGTTTAATATCAACTCATGCAAAGGCCACATACTCCAGGAGATCTACCTTTATCACACCCCATGTACTTACTAAAGGCTTGTATTTACATTTAATGCGTTAAGGTGTAAGACGACCATATACTTACGCATCATTACATATTTGTCCCAGACCACAGCAACAGTTCCCTCCTCCTGCCTAAATTAGACAACTCCCCAGGCCATACCAACCATTTCATAATTATCACATCTTTGCTAAATTCTATCTCATCTGTACAAATGTTCTTTATTGCTCCAAGCCATGTTGTCTTCATTTTTTATTATTTATCATGCATAATCATGCATATAATCAAGAGTTAGTGCGTGCTGACACCATGCAAATATATACTTATACATATTGATACCATAATTGAAGATCTCCCTTCTTCATTATTCTTTCTTCCACAAGAAAAATGCTTTCTCCAAAAATCAATTTGATCCCATAGAAGCAATTTAATTATTTTTCTCAGAATTGCACAAAGAAAAATAAATAAATAAATAAAACCTCAATGCCCCCCCCCCCGCCTGAATTATTATTTTTTCGATATTCTCAGTTGGTTGGAAGACTTTGCACGAACTAAATGTTTACAGTGTCCAACGTCCCTTGAAGAGCACTGTGATTGGTTGCATTGGACGCTAACCAATCACTGTGCTCCGATAGAGACTCAACTCATGCAAGACTTGTCTGGTAATATCTATATTCACATACATGGTGTCATGATACATGCATACACATACATAATCATTTTATTGTTACTAACAGTTTGAACTGGATTACAACCGCTGGCCCTCCAGATGTTGCTGAACTACAACTCCCATGATTCTCAGCCTATCTATTTCATGCATAGAATCATGGGAGTTGTAGTTCAGCAACATTTGGAGGGCCAGAGCTTGGGGAAGCCGGAGTTAGAGTATTCTATAAGATGGTCCTACTTACAGAACATGACATTTTAACATTCCATATTCCACAGGCTTTGGGTTTCAGATGTTTCTTCACACAAGATCAGTCAATATTTTGACATTCTCTATAGGAATTTTACATTACCTAAAATCTACGTTGCTTCTTACTTCTTGATTTTACAATAAAGTCTGGCGTTACTTCTGTTTTTTATACAGTTAGTTTTGTATGTGCATTTAATTATTTGAAGTTAAATTATATTTATTGGTGTCTAGAACTTAAATTGAAATACTCTTGACCTTTGATTAAAGACTACTATGTGCCTCTTGCATAAAATACTCTAAAAAAAAACTGCTTCCCTTTTTAAATTATGCGTGAACTTGAGTGTATCGTAAATAGCATCAAGGGCTCATAATACCCCAAGCAAAATGAGTTCCTGTAAAGTTGTTCCAACTGACTAATTTGTATCTACAGTAAGAATGAGCTGGAACACACTTGTTTTATTTTAGATGCAGCTGCAAACAAAACCCTAAAAATAATAAAAATGAAGTTTGCAAGAGGATAGGTAGGACTCGTGGCATGATAGGAATCAGTTTAGGTGCTAGTGGATCAGATCTTAAGCCCCCATTAAGTGAGACAAACAAGACGACATCCCTCTACACGCATGGCAAGCTCCAATGAGCATCACAATCTTCACATCTGTTTCCGGGTGCAAAGCATGTCTCGAGAATTCTGAAAAAGTTTTAATAATTTATCATAGTGTCTTATTTTTTTTTCTTTTTCTGGTAAAAGGAACGCTTGACAGATTAGACAGATGGTGAGGGAGATGGGCTTTTTTTTGACAGATAACATATTGCAAACCAGTTTACTCCTGATCTGCAGATGTTTGTCATTGTGTTAGAACAATGGATTGGTAATTTTTATACGCAAGTAAAAACAGACTGATCTATATACTTTGACAATTTTATATCTGTCCCTACATTGAAATAAATCTGTCTGTTTGATCTCTGTGGATGTGAATTAGCTGTGGCCTTGCCATATTGTGGCTATATTGTTAAATAAGCTTTCCAAACAATTTCATATTTTTGGATACATTTTTCAAATGTTTCTAGTATTATAAAAAAAAATATTTGAACTTTGTAATATTTTGAAATTTTTAGATACAATATATATATATATATATTTATAATTCTTTATTTTTGCAGTGTAGGATTAGGTATACAGGCTTGCATGAACATTGTAAAATATTGACTTCAGTATAAAACACAGTGATACGACATACAGTATCAGGAAAAATTGCACAGTTTTTTATATTTAAATGACATGGTGGATCATTATGCATCAAACGATTATTCAAACGGTATATTTAAAACTAAGCTATTGTCTAGTGGCAGCATATAAGTTATCGTGTGTTAGAGTGCCCACCAGGAGACTTATTCTTAATGTGTTAGTAAGTTAGATGATTGGCGGGACTTACATTGTTTTTAAGTCTACATCTACCTCGTACCCCACACATCCCCGCACCCCCCACACACATGCAGACAAACAGATACACATGCAGACACATACATACAGACACACACACACATACATACAGACATACATCGAAACACATGTAGAGACATACACACATACACTCATATACACACACTCAGACATATACACACGCAAACTCAGACATATACACACGCACACTCACAGACAGATACACTCACAGACACACACACTCACAGACACACACTCTTACAGATACATACACTTACAGACACATACACTTACAGACACATACACATTTAGACACATACATACACTTACAGACACATACACATTTAGACACAGACATACACTTACAGAGACATACACATTTAGACACATACATACACTTACAGACACATACACATACATACACTTACAGACACACACATACACTTGCAGACACATACACATTCAGACACACACATACACACATACACTTACAGACATACACAAATTATTAATATTAAATGTCCACCCATGCTCCCTACCTGGAGAGCTGGCGTGGATCTGTCCCTGGGGTCCAGTGGGGCTTCACTGTGGCAGGTGGCAGAGTTCCTGTCAGACGCGGCGAGGGAGCTGTGTTCTCTCTGCTCTGCTCCCTTGCGGGTTGTCTACTGATGATGTCATATACTGGCTCCCGGCATCAGCAAATGGTACACAAGGAAGCAGAGTAGAGAGAAAACCTCTTGGGCCCCCCTATGACAGTGGAAACATGGAGGGGTGGCATATATGCGGCCCATGGTCGGAGGTGTCGTGGCTCCGGCCAGGCCCCCTGCAGTGAAGGGGGCCAGTAGCAGCTGTGACCCGTGCGACTGTGGTAGATACGCCATTGATAATAATAATAAGTAAACATGCTTACAGTAGAATATGGCATTCAAGTGACTGAAAAGATTATTGTAAACACAAAAATAAGGCACAAATTAGGAACTGCTAAGCAGTTAGATCATTGGGACCTAATATCAGTGGGAGGATACAGTATTATCCCTCCCAAGTAGGGCTTACTGCCAAAAAACTGCTTATGCCATCAACCCACACCCATGGCTGGTAGTTCAGAGTCCCAAATCTGGAACTGAGGCTTTCAAGCTGCCAACACACGATCCAGCAGGTCAACATGCTTCCTCCCACCTCGAGATATGTAGTGAACCGGTTTCTCAGGATTCATTCCTCTCTGAAGCTGTGATCCTTGTGTTCTGGTGCGTTAGTTTGGGATGCCATTTCTGAGAAGCTCGGAACCTCCGAAAAGAGGGGATGTTGTCACTGGGTCTCACTGGTCTCCAGCATGGTGGTGGGTACGCTCTCTTACTCTATTATGTGACACCGTCTTGTAATCGCTGTGGTAGTCTTCTGATGTCTCAACCTGTGGGGGGTTTTGCATTCTGTAGACCAGCTTGGCCCAGAAAGCTTCAAAGATTTTGTCAAGTCCCGATAGAGTGTAGGGTTGTTGAGCCGGTGGACATTTGGCAGCCGCCATTTTAAGTGGGATTCTCCACCAACCGTCGCTTCACGAAGATTGCTGCTGGTCCCAAGGCAGATATGTGCCAGGATAACCCTCTCTGGCGGGGGGTGGGAGGAAAGTGATGGGTCACAACTGTCCTTATTCTGCCTCCAGGTAGGTCAGAGACCAAGAGACTAGGCGTGCCTCCGCCACCAGATAGGCCATAGGTAGGCCGCTGGAGCCCTCACTGCAGGCACTCCGACCCTTAAGAGAGGAAAGCAGTCTCTGCAAGCTTGGGGAGTCCTGCCGTGCAGTCAGGCTAAATAATCAGGGTTTGAGTTTCTGTAAAGTATGTAATAATTACTATTTTGCACGGAGCTTCTCCCGCGTGTGGCTGCTCGGCTCATCAGTCAGGCCCCGCCCCAAAATATTTTAACTTTTCATTTATTTTTCTTATGATGTATTTTTCATATTTTAATATAAAAAAAAGGTTTATACAAAAATAATGAATTATTGAAAAAAATAAATTGAAACCCAGTGGATTTCAGAAAGTTCACAGTTCCTGTTTGATATAAAGTAAGAGAGTGTGACAAGGCCCGCTGCAATGTTTTATCTGAGTAACAATAAAAAAAAAAAATGAAACAACACGTCTTTTGAATTCTTCTCACAATAAAACGTGAAGAATTAAATAAAGTTCTATAGCTATAATTCTCCATAGCAAAGGCAGGCAAATCTTGTCGTAGATTAAAAATATCTATTAACAGAGATTGCTATCAGTGGGATCACATGGGTATAAAATCAGAAGCTAAATAAATAGGGGTCTCTTCGCGGGTCTATGCACTGGGGTCTTTTCTGGGGTCTACTCAGTAAACAGTGAGTTGTGTTAACTTTATAAATAGCTCCTATGATCTTATAGAAACATAGAAACATAGAATGTGACGGCAGATAAGAACCATTCGGCCCATCTAGTCTGCCCAATTTTCTAAATACTTTCATTAGTCCCTGGCCTTATCGTATAGTTAGGATAGCCTTATGCCTATCCCATGCATGCTTAAACTCCTTTACTTAGCTAAAAGCAGTAGGACATTCAATTCACCATCAATGTACTTTGATAATGACTTTACCACTGGTGTGTTAATGTATGTATATATATATATACAGTTGTGCTCAAAAGTTTGCATACCTTAGCAGAAATTGGGAAATATTGGCATTATTATTATTTTAAATAATATGACTGATCATGCAAAAAAAAATTTTTATTGAAGGATAATGATCATATTATCATTTATTATCACATAGTTGTTTGGCTCCTTTTTAAATCATAATGATAACAGAAATCACCAAAATGGCCCTGATCAAAAGTTTACATACCTTTGAACCTTTGAATGTTTGTCCTTGTTGCAGATACACAAGGTGGCACACACACAGGTTAAATGGCAATTAAAGGTTAATTTCCCATACCTGTGGCTTTTTAAATTGCAATTAGTGTCTATGCATAAATAGTGAATTAGTTTGTTAGCTCTCACGTGGATGAACTGAGCAGGCTAGATACTGAGCCATGGGAAGCATAAAAGAACTGTCAAAAGACCTGAGTAATATGGTAATATAATTTTATAAAGATTGAAAAGGATATAAAAAAGCTATCCAAAGCCTTGAATACTGTTCAATCACTTATTAAAAAGTGGAAAATTTGGGGATCTCTTGTTACCAAGCCAAGGTCAGGTAGACCAAGAAAGATTTTAGCCACAACTGCCAGAAGAATTGTTAGAGATACAAAGAAAAAAACACAGATATCCTCAGAAGAAATACAGGCTGCTCTGGAAACGTCGGCGTGGTTGTTTCAAGGAGCACAAAAGGCGATAGTTGAATAAAAATGAGATGCATGGTCGAGTTGCCAGAAAGAAGCCTTTACTGCGCCAATGCCACATAAAAGCCTGGTTACAATATGCCCGACAACACCGTAACATGCCTCACAGCTTCTGGAACACTGTAATTTGGAGTGACAAGACCAAAATAGGGTTTATGGTAACAACCATAAGCTCTATGTTTGGAGAGGGGTCAACAAGCCTATAGTGAAAAGAATACCATCCCCACTGTGAAGCATGATGGTGGCTCACTGATGTTTAAGGGGGGATGTGAGCCCTAAAGGCACTGGGAATCTTGTGAACATTGATGGCAAGATGAATGCAGCATGTTATCAGAAAATACTGGCAGACAACTCGCATTCTTCTTGTATGTACATAGTGGGTAATTACGATGCAGCATAAACATAACTATCCCCATTCAACCCCTCAATAATGACAGACAATTTAGTATGGATGAACAGGCCACAGCATTTATTATAACATAAATAAATTACTGAATAACACATCCATAACTTTATTTATTAAATCTCTTCTTTCTGTAACCAAATTGTTAGAAATAAATAATCATAAATTAACATATAAACATATATAACTCAACACATAGTGTTATAGAGTGACCCAACCGTCCTTGCCAATAAACATACAGTGGTTCCTGCCATCAGCCGACCTTATCCACGCTCGACGGGCACGACACCTCAGGCAACCTAATGTTAACCCTTTGAAGCAGGGGAGGTTGAGACCTGCAAACATAATGAAACTTACTCCAACCTTAAACATAACCCCTCAAACTTAATTGGCAAGGACATACCCCCGCCACCAAAACCACCCATGGTTCACAGTGGGACGTGTTTCGGGCAGTGGCCCAGCAAGGCAAATTGGAGGGTGTCCTGTGTCCGACAGAGATGTGGTCATTAGGTCTGACAGATTAATGGAATTGGTTCGTGGGTCGATCACAGCTGCCACATGGGACCGCTATAACAAGGTTTGGAGGGAATAGGACGGTTGGGAGAGATCCAAAGGGGGCTTCCGGGACTCGGCCACTCGTCTGCAGGGTCTGGTTCTTTGCTTGGGGGAATGGGAGGCCACTGGGTTGTCTCCCTCTGCCATTTCGGCCATTTCGGCACGCTTGACAGGGCGCGGCTCCCTGTTTAAGTTGCAGGGTTGGGACGATGTTACCAAGGTGTTTATTGTACGCCAGGCGCTAAAGGGTTTGATGCGAGGTAGAGTGTCTGCACGAGATTCGAGGCGTCCTGTCTCGGGCACGCTCTTAACTTCTTTGTGCGAGGCGTTGCACGGGACTTGCCATTCGGATTTCGAAGTTCGGCTTTTTCGTCTGGCCTTTTCCCTGGCATTCTTTGGTGCCATGCAAATTGGGGAGCTGGTGTGCCCCAATCGGCAACAGGTAGGGGGGGTGCTATTTGGGGACGTTACGTGCACCGCGGATCGGATCTCGTTCAGGATCTGCCGCTCTAAGGCGGATGTCTTGGGGAGGGGAAAGTGGGTCCAGTTGGGAGCCGTGCCTTGTTCTGGCATTTGTCCTGTGTGGTCCTTTGGGGAATATTGCGCCTTGCGGCCTTCTCCTGTGCTGCCCCTCCTGGTGCATGGAGATGGTAGTTTCCTGTCACATTTTCAGTTTATTAGAGTATTTCATTTGGGGCTGGAAGCCATGGGATTAGATAGCAAGGAGTTTGGGGGCCATTCATTCCGTATTGGGGCGGCTACTGAGGCCTCTAGGCTTGGCATGCCTGCGCAGGTGGTTCAGAGGATTGGTAGATGGGAATCAAGACGTTATGTTTCCTATGTTCATCCGGATGGTTTACTATCGTAATTTCTTTCCGCAGTTTTGGTTCCCCCTAGGATTTGGATCATTGGGCACTCTTATGTTTACTGGGCTGGGCAGCGTGCGGCGGTTCGGCCTGGAGGCGAGCAATTGGGTTTCACGCCATCCGTAACAGAGGTTCGATGGCTCGGTTCGAGGGGTATGAGGTGGGTTCGACTCCTCCCTGAGTTGGTGCAGCTTTCCCATCTGCTGAGGGTGCCGAGTGTCCTGGTGATCCACCTAGGGGAGAATGATTTGGGTTAAGTGCCCATTTGGGATTTGATTTCGGCGGTGAAGCGGGACTTAGCCCGCATTTTGGTTTTATTCCCCAACGTGTGCTTGGTCTGGTCAGAAGTCGTTGCCCATAACTATTGGCGTGGCGCTAGTTAAATAGGCGGGTTTCCCAGTTTGTTTTGGGGATTCGGGGGATCCCGGTCCGCCTAGGGTTTTTGAGCGGGAGGCGGACAATTTTTTTCAAAGGGATGTGTACACCTAAAGGAGGTTGGGCTCGACCTTTTTAATCTCGCCCTACAGGAGGCGGTGCAACGTCTGCAATGCCCGCTTTGGGGGGAGCATCACCCGTGGGTGCACAAACACCGGCCACCGTGAGTCCCGGGGGGCCCAGGGGCAACGAACCACTACCCACTACTGAAAGGGGGCCGGGAGGCGAGGGAGCCTGAACCACAGGGGGGGAGCTGCGCGGGGGACCAAACAGATCGCAGCTGACTATCCACAGAGGTGTCCCCCCTACCCACCACCCCCCGTTCCCACTGATCCAAAAAACTCCCGAAGACCCAAGAGAAACCCCCCCAGCCCGAGACCCGAAGCGGCAATAGAGGAGGGAACATTGTACTCACCGGCTGCAGCTTGGCGATCCAAACCCTGTACTGCATTCACAGAAGACTGAGGCACTGAAAAATGGGTTCCTGCATCAAGAGAAGACATCAGCTGTGCTCCAGGCGCCACCTGCTGGCCGGGTCCATGAACTGCAGGAGTGTCCTGAGAAGAGAGCAGTGGAGAAGACGTGAGCCCATGCCCCAGAGGTGATGGCCGAAGTAAGTGATCTGCAGGGGGGCAGGGGGCCCAGGCAAGGTAGGAGGGGGGTGGAGAACAGAGGGGACCCAGATAGAGCAGGATAGGCACCAGGGGAGGGAAGGGCAGAAACGGGGGGCGGGGGCAGGAAAGGAGGAAGAGGGGGGGAGGACCCACAGAGTTGGAAGGGGGGATGAGGGGGAAGAGGAGGACAGAAAAGGATGAGGGGGTCCCGGGGGCCCTGTCAGTGGGAAGCTGGCCCCCCCCAGGGGACCCCCTCGAGGAAAACACATGGGAGGGGTAGGGGAGAGGGGAAAGAGAATACCGGGAGCCTTCCTCACTGGCAGAGGAGGCTCCCGACCCACAAGGGGACCCCCCCCGCACCTCTAACGGCGGTACCATGGTACCCCGCGCGGCCCTTACGGACCCACTCACCACAGGGGCCCCAGCGGCAGCCCCACACCCCCGCCGGCCGCGGGGGGACCTTGAATGTTGCCAGGCAGCCGTCCGCCACCCGTATGTTTGAACGGGCCTCCACTGTTCCCGGGCTGCGTTCCCACGCTGACAGCCAGGGCGGGAGTCAGATGAACCGTCTGGGCACGTGGAGCCCACCAGGCCTCCGGGCCGCAGGGGGTGCGGCAGATGAAGGCCTCACCTCAGGCCTTGAGGGGGGCCGCAAATCACGGCCACGGCGATGCCTCGGGCCTGGGCTCCTGCTCCTCAACCGGGCCCGAGGAGTGGTGTCTGGTGACTGCCTGGCAGGCGGGCGGGAATGCCTACCAGTGCTGGTGCGGCCCCCAGGGGCAGGGACCGCAGGGGAGGCAGCAGGGGAGACCGCAGGAGGTACTCCAGGGGAAGTTAGGCCATGGGGGGTGCCCACACCATTAGCCATACCTCCACTAATGTGCCCAAACTGCTCCCTCAGTCGCAGGCCACCATCCAGCGCTGCAGCAGCCCTAAGGGATGCCAGGATCGCCTCAATATCTATCCCTCAAGCTGTGAAGACTAAAGGCCCAGGCAAACAGGAACAGCAGGACAGGAAGCTGTTTGCTGGCCTGAATCCCAAGTGGCACTGAGGTAAGACCTCCCCCACACTAACTCACATTGAACCTAACCCCTCCCACACACACTTCCCAAGACACTCCCACGCATCAATCCCCACACTCCTACATGTGCCCTTGTCTGCGTAGCTGCGCTATCTCTCCAGGCCCTGCACGAGGGCTGCTCATGGGATGCTCTTGTTCTTTCCAGCATGATAATGACCTTAAGCACAAAGCCAAGTTGCTTCTCCAGTGGTTACAGCAGTAAAAGGTGAAGATTCTGGAGTGGCCACCAGGGTCTCCTGACCTCAATATTATTGAAACCACTTTGGGGAGATATCAAACGTGCGGTTTATGCAAGTCATGAACTGGATGCCAAGACAAATGGACAGCTTTACCACCTGCAAGAATTAGGGGCCTCATAGACAACTACAACAAAAGACTGCACACTATCATTGATGCAAAAGGGGGCAATACACAGTATTAAGAACTATGGATATGCAGACTTTTGATTTTAAACAGGGGTCATATCATTTTTTTCTTTGTTGCCATGTTTTGTTATATGATTGTGCCGTTCTGTTTTAACCTAATATGGATTGAATATGAATCCCATAAGAAATAAAAGAAGCGTGTTTTGCCTGCTCACTCATATTTTCTTTAAAAATGGTACATAGATCACCAATTCTCCAAGGGTATGCAAACTTTTAAGCACAACTGTATATATGTCGATATCACTTTTTAAAAAACAAAACATCATATCCTTTTCTAACTTTCCACCCACACATCTTTGACTTTCAAACCCAACATCTGTTAGCAATGCCACCTAACTCTGCTTCTCTCTAATCACTATGTTTCAATTAGTTTTCCCATTTTACCCTTAATTTTTGTACACATGACATTGACAATAGTACTCTCCCAAATCTCCAGAGTATAGCCATAACCTTATGTGCATTTTAGCAAACTATTGCAAAGTTTCAGAAACTGACAGAGGGGACCCTCAAGTTTTGAAAAATAACTGGGATTTCTTGGTACCAGCAGAAACCCAGCTGGTACTTTCACTGCATGTCGGTCTATGCCATCAAGGTGTATTAAAGCCCTGCAGTGCATGGCAGGATAACCCGTCACACAGCCAGTAAGGGGTTAAATATGGCAATCCCACAAATTATGGAGTTGCCTACTAAACAGCTGAAATATCAAATTTAAGAAAAGGGCTTTTCTTAATTTCGATCTTTCAGCTGTTTAGCAGATTACTCCCTAAATTGGGACATTGTAACTTTGTGACTGCCACCTTCATTCATTCCCCATAAGTGATATAGGGTATCCGAATTTTGAAAAATGCCAACATTTTGGAATGAATTTAGTTTAGTCTGAATCAATATTGTGCAAATGTCACATGAAACAAAATGAAAAAAATTGGCAAATTAAAACAGAGCAAATTTTCCCCCTTCATATGTCTAAAACGTACAGTGCTTGATGTTGGGTCAAGCTGAATTTTGGCATATATTAACAGGCTGCAGATCTGACTGGCTCCATAAATGCACACTATTTAAAAGCAAAAACAAACAGATTGTGTATGTATTGAAATCTTTATAATACACGGTGCTGTAAAGCCACATGGCACAGCAACGTACCGCTGTGAAATAGTCCTGAGTAATTACAGTGGGATATTGGAATAAGGCTAAGAGTGTTTGTGGTTAGGCGAGCTGCCTTAAAGTACAATGTGAACTATAACTCACATCACTCTCAGCTATGTTTTGTACACGGTGCTGTAAAGCCACATGGCACAGCAACGTACCGCTGTGAAATAGTCCTGAGTAATTACAGTGGGATATTGGAATAAGGCTTAGAGTGTTTGTGGTTAGGCGAGCTGCCTTAAAGTACAATGTGAACTATAACTCACATCACTCTCAGCTATGTTTTGTCTGACAGCCAATTATTAAAGTCCATAGGCATGTCTTGAAGGCAGGTATATATTCACACGTGCCTTTATAAGTCCCCCCCCTACTACTGAGCCATCATTTATCCCTCCTACCAATTGGTAAACAAATCTTAAATCTTCTAACATTTAACCCTAATCTTAATAATCAGTCTCCTGACTCCTCTAAACCTAGTGTTCTGCTCTTTGAAGACAGATTATCCCGGTTGATATTAAGGGATTCTATACTGCCAGCAAAACAAAGCCGTTTTTTCTGGCACCATAGAATCCTACAGTGCCCCCCTCCCCCGCGCCCCAGTTCCGCGTGGCTGAAGGAGTAAAAACCCATTGAATCACTTACCCAAATCCAGCGCCGATGTCCCTTGGCGCTGGGTCAGGCTACGCCCATGCTCTGCCAATGTCAACCGGTGATGGAGACCTAATGCGCATGTGCAGCAATGGACGTATTCCCATTAGGATTTCCCCATAGGAAAGCATTATTCACTGCTTTCCAATGGGGAAAAATCTGACGCTGGAGGACCTTATGCAGAGCATATCAAAGGTATCAAAGGTACATTTTAAACAAGGAAGTCCCTCTAGTGGTGGAAATAATCCTGGATAGTAATTATTGCACTTTCACAATAACCGCAATAATTACTATTGCAGGGTTAAGGGACATGGAACATTGCACCCAGACCACTTCAATGAGCTGACGGGGTCTGGGTGCCTACAGTGTCCCTTTACTTCTGACATCAGCAGAGGGATGAGGTTGCAGTGCCAGTCACTCTGTGATGTCTCTGTATTGCGTGATCACCAGACAAGAAAATATATACTAAATGGCCAAAATTATCTACCCCTACTAATTACTGAGATCTACTGAGAGTTTAAGCCTCAACCATTGCTAACAAGTGTATAACATCCAGCACATAGCCACGGAATCTCCATAGACAAATGTCCGCAGAACAAT